CTGCGGTGACCGGGAGAGGCCACTGCACTCCAGTCTGGGCGACTGAGTGAGACTCCAACTGAAAAATAAATAAATAAATAAATAAAAGTAAATTGCTGGGCGCGGTGGTTCACGCCTATAATCCCAGCACCTTGGGAGGCTGGGGCGAGAAGACTGCCTGAGCCTAGGGGTTTGGGACCAGCCCGGGTAACTTGGCCCCGGGTAACTTGGGGAGACCTTGTCTCTTCTGTGAATCAAAAAATTTGCTGGGCGTTCCAGCTACTTGAAAAGCTGTGGCGGAAGGAAAGACATAAAGAGAAGACTCACCTCCCCAAGGCAGGGGAGGGGGCCAAAGCCAGGAAGCACGGCGACAGCCATAGCTCAAAGAGCACGTGGCCACACCTGAGTCTAGCAAGGCCGTGGTTGCGAACATATATTTTAATTCCTCTTAGCTAGATATGTGTGAATAGATAATACTTTACAATACTCCTGGTTTTTTTTTTTTTGAGTTGGAGTCTCACTCCGTCGCCCAGGCTGGAGGTCAGTGGCACGCTCCTGGCCGCCGCAGCCTCGATCTGCTGGGCTCCCGCGATCCTTCCGCCTCAATCTTCCAAGTAGCTGGAACCACAGGCGTGCGCCACCAAGTTCGGCTAATTTTTTATTTATTGTAGAGACGAGGTCTCAACCCCTGGGCTCAGCCCATCCTCTCGCACCCGCCTCCCAAAGTGCTGGGATGACAGGCGTGAGCCACCGCGCCGGGCTCAACTGGCTTCTTCAGAAGGTCCGGAGGTCGCTTGAGTTGCTGTCTTTCGGCCGGTTCTCTGGCCCAGGGGTAGCCCGGGGCACGGTCGGTCCACGCCTCGAGCCGAGTTTGAGAACCCAAACCTCGGGAGCGGGAGTGTAAAACGCTCCGCTCACAGCACACAACTATAAACCCCAGGGCTAAGGCGTCACCCACCTACTCGTCCCCCGTCGCCACTTCCTGGGACTCTCTAGACTTCTCACCCCCTTCTCGGTGGTTCTTCCGGTTCACCCCGCTCCTTGCTTGGTTTCCGCCTTTTGCCTTCCGTCCCCGGAATTTGACGAGCTCTCGCGAGGCTTCGGCCTCTTCCTAAACCGGTGCTTAGCAAGGTAGGGTTGCGGCCTGTCTCGGGCCTGGGCTTTTCTGCTGGTATTGGGGGAAAAGCCTTTTGGAGTCAGCCCTGGAGTGGAGGGCCCAGCTCGCTGGGTGGGGATACATCTGATTACCCGGACAGTGCCTTCCGATGGCTTCTGCGGGGCCGGCGGGACCGGCGCCGGGCCGTGCGGGTGGGAGGGCGAGCGGACTGCGCCTGCAGCCCGGGCCGCGGGAGCCGCTGACCGCAGTGTGTTCTGTGCTCCCAGGAGAAGGCCATGTTCAGCTCGAGCGCCAAGATCGTGAAGCCCAATGGCGAGAAGCCAGATGAGTTCGAGTCTGGCATCTCTCAGGTGAGAGCGGGCCCCCGGGGTCGTGGGGGAAGGGGCGGGGC